GCGCATGATGGGCGAATCAGCACGAACCGGGTCTTTCCTCAAAGATGTGGTTGAGACCGAACACCTTTTCTAGACGTCGGGGTGCGTCGGGGTGCGTGTGGTGGTGGCCGGTCACGGGAAAAGGATCGAACCAGATGCATGTTCCGCCGCGGATTGTTTTTGAAAGAATTTTTGAGAGGCAGTATAATGGCCGTAGTTCTCCACAGCATCATCTCTTTTTCACAACCCGAAACGTTTTCTCCATGAGGTAAGAGCGATTTCCAAGAGTCGTGTTCTCACGGACCCTCTAACCCTCGGGGGAATAAAAAAGGACTGCTGCTCAGCGAAAACATACTTTTGTATTCTTATCCCTTACCCAGATCATTCGATGTAAGTATTGGATTTGGTTGGGTGAGTCCTCCTGCGCCTGCAGGAGGGCCTCGCCACAAGTATGGGCTGGGTGTGCCCAGGCCCAAAGTGTTTGAATGATCAGTAAGTTCATGAATATAGTAAGCATTGTGTAGGGCGGGTGGGATGGTCTCAAATATACCCCTTCTTCTCTGCTCCGGCGTATTTCGGGAGAGAAAAGGGGGACTAAACTAGGTGGGGTCATTTTCCAACATCCTTTCTGGAATATCTAACTCTTCCCGATTTCGTTCCGAACTCTAGATGCGTCTCAAATCCGAGATTACTGTTGTATTATTATCCCTTACCCAGATCATTCCATTTAAGTATTGGATTTGGTTGGGTGAGGCCTCCTGCGCCGGCCTGTGGTCCCGCCCATTACTTTCTTGTTGATTATCCGATCTGCCACATCTTAGTTATTGACCATTCACGCCTCTAAGCTAGGTCTCGCCCACCCAAACTTTCTTTATTTTCCGCGGCGAGCACACACAGAGAAATCGCATGTGAAGTCAGCCGACAACGGCAACGCGTTTGAGTCTGCGTACAGCTCGCTACGGATCCTCTTGGAACCCGTTGCCCCCACACTAGTAGTGGCGCCAACATATCGCTTCGCTACACTCTCCGTACGCCACCCGGCAATTTTCATGATAGCGTCCATCGCCGTTCCGTCAAGCGACTGCGCTACAGAACCTCCGACGCGGAACGAGTGCATAGTGTAGCGGTGCGGCAGTCCCGCCGCTCGCAAATGCCCTTGTAGGGCAGCCGTCATCTGAACCACCGTAAGCGGAGCGCAGCCCCGAGTTCCGTCCAGCAGAACGATAGGAAACAGATGCCCTTGGGACAAATCCCAGCCAATACGCTCCGCCGCACTGATGTAGGCCGTAACATTGCTTACAGCACAAATAGACGGGCACGCGACGTCCGGACGCACGACCACGGCATCGACAGAGTCCCGGAGGGTCTTGCCAAACTGGAAGTTAAAAATCAGACCCTGCCCCGCGGGCAACCGAAGAACTTGCGATCCCATAGTGAAGGAGAGATCATGGCCTCGCCGCATGGAGGCGAACGCCAGCGAAAACAAAGCGACGTCCCGAGTGAGCTCAATACGTCCCGCCAAAGAGGACGCAGTCTGCGCGCGAGAGCGAATGTCCGTCAACAAATCGATGAGGACGTGCGGTAACATAGCCTCTGCCTGGTTGACAGCGACACCCACACGGTTTTTGTGCCTCCCCCGTGAAGACGAGGTAGGAGTCGGCGAGAGGACTACAACATGGGTTGCTCGAGCGCGTGGCAGGGTCCCAGCTGCTGTTTTTTCCCAAATGTTCTTGCATCGCCATCTTCAACTTGGACACGATCCCTTTCTGCATGGACGCGGCAGCATGCCGCTTAGCACATGGCGAGTTTGGAAGACAATCGCGGCCGTGGGTCGTGCCGACACTAGGGCATGCCCTGTCGTGCACCCACTTGGTACCACTATCTTGTGTGTCCAAGAAGCAGAGATAGTAAAACAC